GGGCTGGGTTTTTTTTTTTCTCGACGCCTTAGCTCACAAACCAGTCTGGTGGCGAACTTGTGAACTTTCTCCAGTTTCGCGTTGTTCTTACCTACGATAGGTCTGTGTTGCATGCCAGTGCTGTATCACCGCCAGAAGTTATGTTTGTGGTGAATAATGATTTGATTCTTCAGGTTCCTGATGATGGCCTTTCTTAAGTTTACTGATCTGACAGATGCTTCTGATGTTATCCTGTTTATACATACTTTGAGAGACAGGTATGCGTCAATCATAGGGATTGTTACCCAGATCTGTGAATTGTCTCCACTTTGATGGTTAACATTTGTTCGGTCTCCTTGACCCAACGTTCCAGTTCCAGTACACTTGCTAGTGTTGAACTGTCGAAGCCAGTTTCTTGAACATCAGTGAAACCTTCCAGGTAGTTTTGCAATTCCCTGCAGTCCTCTTAGGAACGTATTCCAATTGTTGTCTCGACCCCAAACATTGACTTGTAGGAGTCTGTTCCTCTTGGTAGGTCATTTATTTTCAAACTTAATAGGATATAGGAATGACCCTTAAAACACTTTGTTTATGTTCTCATCCTGACGTATCGTCTTTCACAGTGGCTCTTTCAGGTATTCCTTAATATATGCAATACCTTTCAGAAATATATTAAATCATGAAAGAACTCGTCCTACTATCCATACGGTAACTAGTATGAGTCTTTTGCGTGGTACTGTGCCGAAGGGCTTGAGGTCTAGGAACATGCACTCCACTCTTTTTATCTGCTCTCCGTTAGATTTTTCTTCCGTAGTCCTGCTGTATGTTAGTGAGGCAGAATATGTCATTCCTGAACCCATTTTGGTGCTTGGTGATAAGCCCCATTCACTTGAATCCCAGTTTTAAAAAAATAATTTATTATGGTTTGGAGTTATAATAAAACCTTCCTTAGGGATAAGTGGTTAATGTAATCCCAAAAGTGAATCTAAATGGTAAGGAGGTTTCTTCCCACTCTTAATCTTCTAAGTGGAGGTGGATAAGTGGAATATCTAATTTATCCGTTAATTAATTCTACCATACTCCCGGTATATCTACCACTGCCATCTAATTCTGCATTCCTGCAAATATAGCACTGCATTTCTGTAACATAGATCTGCATTCATGTCATCTACATCGCATTCCTATTATCTTCGCATTATTCGTATTGTTAGCACTGCATTCCTATCATACATTCTACATTCCTGTCATCTAGCACTGCATTCCTTTCATCTAGCACTTGCATCTGTCATCTGCGTCTGCATTTCCCTTCATCATTGCATTCCTGCCATTTCTAAAATCTAGCACTGCATTCCTATCATTAGCACTGAATTCCTGTCACCTAGAATAGAATTTCTGTCAGCTAGCATTACATTCCTGTCATCTCACTGCACTCTTGTCATCTGTATTTTGCCTTTAATGAGTTTCGGGATTTTTTTTTTTTTTTACTCCTGGAGTCCAGCCTCAATTGAGTTAGGCTCCTATGGTGCTTGCCTGGTCAACCAGACTGTTGCTCCTGGCGGCCCGCTGACCCACGTATCGGTCACACACTGGCTGATGTGGCACCTGGTGAAGATACTTGTCCAGTTTACCCTTGAAAACTTCTATATTTGTCCCAGCAGTGTTTCTGATATCTGGCAAAATGTTGAATACTCTGGGGTTACGGACGTTGATACAGTGTTTTCTTATTGTGCTCACAGCGTCCCTGCTTTTCACTGAGTTTATTTTACACTTCCATCTCTCTCACTCCTGTATGTTGTTATGGCAGTGTGTAGATTTGGAACTAGGCCCTCGAATACTTTCCAAACATATATTATTTTGTCTCTCCTCTGCTCCATTGTGTACATGTTTCGGACTTTGAGGCGTTTCCAGTAATTTAAATACTTTATTGGCTACATGCGGCCGTAAATGATCTCTGTATCTCTGCTGCTTTGAACGGAGCCGTCAACACTGAACAGTGAATGAGGGCACAAATTATTTGAATAGTGTCACCATGAGGCCTGGTCACAGACGTTGACCCCCAAAACCCTTTCCAGGTACTCCAGATATTTTCCTTTTTATAATTTTCTAACAGCTGCCTTGATTGATGCGAGTGGTTGAAGACCTTTGTTGTTGAACTACATAGTGGTTCTACCCTTTCTCTTCACTTGTGTTGTTGCTCGCTGGCACCTGTTGAGATATGTTCTGACGACAGTGTCTTCCGGTTCCTCTTTATTTTATGTGTAGTAAAGTGCAAGATAAAGTTGTCGTACATGAGATGTTGGCAGACTTATGCATTCTCACGTATCCCTAACAAGAACTTACCCTCACCTTGGCCACCACAACCCCATGGATATGGCGTGGATTCTAGCACATATATAGCGTCAAGATAAGGGAATTGGCCTTCCTCCCAGCCTGGTATCTCTGTTGATGTAATGAGTCAGCAGTGTTTACCCTCACCCACCCACCCATCCTATTTCCCAGTGCCCCCCTTTCCTTCCTGCCACACTCTAGAAGGGATGGTAATGCCCAAACCACACACCCCTGATTACCCCCCCACCCCCACAGTGTTACTCAGAAAACGTAATCTTTCCTCAAGGAAAACGCGCGCCGCGGCTGTTATGCTGGCTCAGGGGCCCCTCCGCCATGCTCTTTCCGGGGCCCAGGCTCATGTGGGACTCAATTTGATCAGGGGGATTTTGGACGCAAGGGCGAATTTGAATGCCACATGGCAAGTTTCAGAGTCCATTCTGAGGGAGAGGAGGGGGATGTAGGAAGGCTTGGCAGGGAAAATGGGGACAGACTTTTGATGAAGTGATGACACTTTGTATATGTCGTAATAAGCCTTTTTCTGGTTGTAATTAGATATTCTCGCGGAATACTAGAAAGAGTATGCAGTGGGCGTGAATTTACTCGCTCTAAAAGAGCTTAGTGTTTTATAGGCACTCTTTATGCTAATGTTCTGCCAGTGTGCGAGTCAAGGGTGTGGACGTGTGTTTATATGACTGAGAGAGATTGTGTTTGTAACTGTATTTACACACGTATGGAAACATTGAACGGGATTTTTAAGTGTCTTTCATATCCAGTTAAAAGCTAGTTTTGCTGGACATAGTTGATGCGTCTTTCACATTACTTTCATCGGGGTGATGGGCGCTAGGGCCATAAACCTCCTGGGAGAATTAGGGTCTATTAGAGGGAGGATAGATCCAATTCCTGGGATGGAGAACTCATCGGGAAGTGTATGTTTCTGTCTCTCGCCTGTGTCTAGCTCCATAAATAACAAAAAAGGCACAATATCGTGACTGGAACGATACACAAATAACCCGCACATAAAAGAGAGAAGCTTACGACGACGTTTCGGTCCGACTTGAACCATTGTCAGTGGTCCAAGTCGGACCGAAACGTCGTCGTAAAATTCTCTCTTTTATGTGCGGGTTATTTGTGTATCTAGCTCCATGCACTCATATCATCACAATCCCCTTTCGCTCTCAACCATGCCAGCACTGTAAGACACTGCACAATATCTGACACTCAATATGGAACAAATACTGTATTCTGGAAGTGGGGCCACTGTGGAACATCCATCCCAGGCTTGTAGCCTGGTACTGCTTTTGTAAAAAAAAAAAAAAAAAAAAAAAAAAAAACTAGAGTATTTTCTTCTCAACCCAACTTGATAAGCAGTCTTAGTGGTGTTGTCAGCTGTGCGAGTATGAAGCCGCCTTCAAAACTTTCAGGTTGCCGAGTTAATGGAATCTTCCACTTGGTTAGACACAAGGAAAAGAAAGCATCAGTGCAAGATAAAATATTGACATTTCAGGTGCTTGTAGAACAAATGCATTTTTACACTTATAATCTGTGTTGTCAGCTAGTTGTCATGCCTGGTCATGGACCGGGCCGTAGGGGCGTTGATCCCCGGAATACTCTCCAGGTAGCTGCGAGTGAAGTTTTGATTGATTTTATTTATGAACGCGTAGCATTTAATTCGTTGTGATCGAACATTTCTGGAATTTCAACGAATGAGGGACATATTCCTTGTTATTTATCTATAATATAACGAATATTTATTCAGTCAAAGAATTAAGCCTCTGAAAACTCTGTCTTTTATTCAGATATGTACAGTTGGTTATATTAATTAAACAAGCCTCTTGTTTTAAATCTAGTTTGTCATTTAACTATTTGTTGGCTTTTCATGAGTGTCCCCTCAAGGAAGGTTCCTTGATGTTGGTGAGGGGCTCTTGATTTAGGAATTGGATCTGTGCTCCAGTTCCCCGAATTAAGCCTGAATGCCTTCCACATCCCCCCCCAGGCGCTGTATAATCCTCCGGGTTTAGCGCTTCCCCCTTGATTATAATAATAATAATAATTTTCATGAGTGTCAGTAATCTACATTCATAGACTTCACTCTCTAATGGGTACACAGTAACTAGATAATGTAGCATCAACTGTAGCAACGAAATTATTACATTCGTGAGGAGTGCTAAATTCCTAGGGTTACATAGCGCCTGGGGACAGATTCAAGCCAAGGTAGGGAACCCCTCAAAGAAGGTCCATGACGACGGTGAGGGACTCTCTGATATAACGAATTGGACCTACCCATTCCTCCAGCATTGAATGACCTCTAGGCCTAACACGAAGCATTCAGGTGGCACTTTTACTTTTAAAAATTTTTGACCATGAATCTTACCATCATATATTCTGACAAATGAATCTCATGTACTCCTGCTCAATAAATACAGTATAATCATTCAAGGGAAGGGTAGCTTCAATTCTTTGGACCATGAGCCCTGACACTGAGGCCCTTCATTCTCCTGAAGAACCTCAGTGAGAGCGAAATATACATTACTTGTCATATCTTGGGTTTTAGGACCTCCAGGTGATTCGATTGTGCCATTTACAATTGTCTGATTTTTATTTTGGGTATTAAGTATTATTGGTTAATGTACCTGTGATTGAGAATCAGTAAGCGTTATAGTAGACAAGTTAAATAAGTGACTTTGCTTACGCAGGTGCCCCAGACCCTACGGCAGGAGGCAGCGCTGAAGAAGAGCACTGTTGGCACCTGGATGCTGAACAGGTGAAGGAGCAGGTGGGGCAGTACCTCACCCAGGGCGGCTACTACAATGCCAACAAGCAACTATATTTTATGTTTACTAAGGTAAATACACTATCCTGCTACTCTACATTAATACATTTATAGAGGAGCTCTAGACCTAAAAGGGTCATACAATGCAGGGAATGAAAGGCAATTCACTTTTATCCGAAGGGAGTGGTTCCAATTTTTTTTTTAATCAAGAGCCCTTCACCAGTTTACAGGCACCTCTCAGGAAGACCAGGGGGGGGGGGGCGCCTTAATGCTGATCAAGAGGCTCTCGATCCAAGGAATTTAAGTTACCGTCCCCTTCCTTTGAATTAAATCTGCTTATCTAGTCTACATTCCCTAGGCACTGTATGACCCTCAATAGTTTAGTGCTTTCCCGTAATGCAGTGACTGCATACATTTTTAGTTTTCGGTCACATAAGTATTCATAAAGTTTTAAGTATGAAATTGTAATGATTCCTAATCAATTTAAATAAAATATTTTGTTATTCAGACAGCTTATACTCTGTTGTGTAGTCGAGTTAATCATTAACATGCCCTTTACAGGTGCGGGAGATGATTCGGGCTAGAGACAGTAATGGTGCTAAAATGCTGACAATGATCACTGAGCAGTTCCTTAATGACCCCAGACTCTTACTCTGGAAATCCCAGGGTACTCCCATGACAGACAAATGTCGACAACACTGGGATCATATAGGTGAGCAATTTCTTTAATGTCTTTTATTTTTTAACAGACTAGTCCGTAATTAAGTTTCCCATTTTTTTTTTTTTGACAGCTATTACAGAACCTGAACCTCTCCTGTGGGCAGTAATACTAGGACTAGAGAGTACATATTGGGTCCAGGAGTTGGGCTCCAACATTCTCTTGACTAAGCAAATTACAGTAGTAATGATCAATGAGAATAAGAAAATTTCTTCGCAAGCAACTTTGTTGAAGTTTACAGCCTTCTTATGGTGTATATGGTACATAAATACAGTACAGTGGAATCTCAAAAATCGAACTTAATCCATTCCAGGAGCTAGCTCTAAATTCGAAAAGTCTGAAATTCGAAGCAATATTTCCCATAAGAAATAATGGAAATACAATTAATCCGTTCCAGAAATCCAAAAATATTCACACAAAAAAATTCATTTTATAGAGATTAATTAGTTTTACATACAACAAATACTATACTTTTTAATTATGTATAGTAATACATATAAAATAACATTTTTACTTACCTTTATTGAAGATTGGTGATGGCATCTGGAAGATAGGGAGGGGAAGAAAGGGAGTTGGGGTTAGTGTTTGGAAGGAGAATCCCCCTCCATGAGGACTTCAGGTAAAGCCCTCTCTGGGGTTACTTCCCTTCTCTGTCTTTTAATGCCACTAGGACCAGCTTGAGAGTCACTGGACCCCTGTCTCGCAAAATAACTGTCCACAGTCCTCTGTTTCTGGCGCCTCTTTAACATTTCCCTAAAATGGGACATGGTTCTGTCACTGAACTTGTTGCAAAGATGGCTTGTTTCAGCTTGCTCAGGGTGGTACTTCTGCACAAACATTTGGACATCATTCCACTTGGAACAAATCTTAATCTTTGAAGAAGGCACTTCATCCACTCCCTATATTAACACCTTTCGCAACATCAGCTTCCTTGATTTGTTCTTTCTTTGACAGGATAGAACCGATGGTTGACTTGTTTTTCCCATACATTCTGGCAAGCTCAACAAGTCTCACACCACTCTCATACTTCTGTATTATTTCCTTCTTCACATCTATGGTGTTTCTCACTTTCTTTACCACAGGGGTACCACTAGCAAGTTTCTTTGGGCCCATGGCAGCTTATTTCACAGTCCCACAAGCACTAAACACAACGAAATAATCGTAAAATGCGTGAATGAGAGTGCAGGTTAGTGTTCACTCAAGCATAAACAAAGCTAGACTGCTCACCGCGCCTGCGAGGGGACGTGGACAGAGCGGGCGGCAGACAGGTCCCGTACCTGGCGGTCCGAAAATAGGGGTGCGTTTGATAATAGGGACACAGTTTGTCCGAAAAAATGGTCCTATTTTCGAAACGTTCGATTTTTGAGGTTCCACTGTACATACATGTATATGTTTTGTTTCACATGTATCAGCACTACAGCTGGATTTCAGATCTTACAGCAGTTATGGGATAAAAAGAATAAACTGGATTTTGTGGTGAGGAACATGCATTTGGTCATCAGTAAAATGCCTCCATGACTCTTTAAAATCAAATCAGCTTATAAAATAAAATTCACACATAATTTTTGTCATAAATTATCTTCCCTGGCCAGTTAGTGTCAGTTAACTAGAGAGGAAATGAAAATTAAAGTTAAAAATATTTGCACTCAAAATAATTCTGCAATCAGTCAGATGTGTCAACCAGTTAAGCAAATATTTTGATAAGATATTGCCAATATTAGTGTTCCAAATTTCATTGTCATTGTACCATACAGTAAATATAATTCAGTAATTTTAGTTCCTGCAGTGTAAATTCTTTATAAGTACCTATTTTCAGGCTGATCATAGTACAATCTGTTTTTCTTGTACGTATTCAAGTTACCTAGTATATACAGTACTGCATATAGAATTTTTTTTTTCTGTTAATAGCAGAAATGCTGCATGTCAGTTGCTCATTAGATTAATTATTTAGTTGCTGCTATATGTACTATGTTATGAAAACATCATATCAAAGAATAATTTTATTATTAAATATTGCTGTGGCTTCATAAAAATTGATAAATGGAAGCCCAGCTGCCTCTCATATCTTAAAATATATGAACTATGAATTAACATTACATTAGACATACAGCAGTATGAACTGAGTTTATTAATTATGTGAAAAGCAATGTGGAATTCTTAACCAGCTTGTTTGTGTTAGTTATTTTTAATGTTTTCAAAGTATGCTGCATCTTTCCTAATTTACCTTTAAATGTCTGTCTGTTTTAATCACATATAAGCTTATGTTATATTGTTTGTTGGTAAGAACATTTTCATCACTTGATATTTGCTCAGTATGCAGAGTAGAATAACCAACTCATTTTCATTTTCTCCCCTCAGCTACTTTATGGGTGTGTGTTGTGCTAGCCCCACATAGTGGAATGTTAGTGAAGCAGCAGTGGCAGAGAACTCTAGAGCAGTGGGCACATACTGATGTCTGTCCTCTCGAGGATCCTGACCACAGACACCAAGATACCAATGACAGAGTTAGTATATGTCACATTGAGTCTTTATTCTGCTGTATTATGTAGTACTGTATTTAGCCATAAGGTAAATGTATGGTATATACTGTACTGTTGCTAGATACATTCGATTTCCAGGAGGATAAATACAAAAGCTTCTACCAACTTATTGAATTTATTATTACATTTGGTAAATTTTATATACAGTATTTAATATGATTTGTGAATTTCTACTTCCTACACTGCAGAGTCATCAGAACAAAGGCATGTTAGTGAAGGGATAGACCTCTTCAGAAGTACTGTTATTTGTTTAATATGTGCTGAAATTAATGGAAAAATTCTCAAGCACAAAGATACCATTACCTATAAGGCACTGAATTCAAGTTAACCAAAATATGAATGAGCTGGATGAGACATCTACTTGCTGAATCATTTTAAAAAAATAAAAATTTAAGTGCTGCAAGAATCAAATTCTGTGCTCTATTATAAACCTGATCACCATCAATTTCATTATACTCCTAGGAATATATCTACAATACCTAAATATTGTAGAATTTATGATTTAGTTAGATGATTAGAAAAAGTTTTAAAAAGTTAAGACATGATTGTTATTGCAAATATCGTAATTTTTTTATAGAATCATTCAGCAGCTTACTACTTGAGCTCTGATGAGGAATCTAGTGATGAGGATAATGAGCTTAGAAGAAGAGATGCTAACAGGGATGGCAATAATCGAGATCACTACCATCGTCACCATCATAACCATCCACATCATCATAACCAAAGGGAAATTCGAGATAGAGATAGAAGATCTTCTCACAGGTAAAAATGTAAACTTTGGTTGTTGTTATGAAACTAAAGTTCAGTAGAGAAAACCTTTGTACTTTTCATTTTAAAATAAGCTTGTCAAGTTTTACATGGTACAACATTGTTTTTATAGAAAAAAGAACTTCGTATTGGATAAATAATATACTGTAACATCATTGTATCTCTGAATATGTTCAAATAGAACTTATAAAATGTATTCACTTAGACTCCTATACTTCATAGGAGGTAAGACAGTATCCATTAATTTTTTATATTTTTATGTACCCTGTGCAGGGTTGTATGACCCTTATGGGTTTAGCACTTAGGTATGATTATTATTATAATAATAATTATGTACCCTGTAAATGTAAACCAATATTCTGTCAATTTAAGACCATTGAAAATGATACATTGAAAGTATAGGAATTAATTTTTGCCTCATAAGAAGAATTAGTGGTAGGAGTGGAGTTGTCTTATGCAGTAGCAAAAGCAAATTTGCATATGAAGAAGCCACAAAGTGCAGTTTCCCTTTGTGTAAATTCACTGTTATGGTATCTCATTTCTATTGGTGTGTTTCTGTGCATGCAGTACACAGTTACTGTGTGTAATCAGTGCAATTCATAAAATATGTTAAAGATTTTTATTATGCAGAATTATTATTGTTATAATCAAGGTAAGCATTAAGCCCAAAAGGGTCATACAGTCAGTGCTGTATGCAGATTTAAGCATGGATAGCCTCATTCACATGAGCCTGGAATGCATCTACAACATACTAATGTGAAAAGCTCTTAATCATTTTTATCTTTTTAGACGACACAAGAGACGGAGGATTTCTGCACCTCCAAGAACAATATTTCATCGAGCAATAGATGCATGTAATATGTCTTGGGATGACCAACACTTGCAAACAATTCTTGCTGGTGAAACTCCGGTGCTAAGGACTTCACAACATTCATCTTCATATTACAATGAGCAAGGGCAACCTCTTTGGCATGGTAAGATTTCTTCACCACACTTCTTTCTTCTATCTTAAAAGAGGTGTTGGTTAAGGAATAAAGATGAAAACATAAGATCCATACACCTTAAACTAACAACCACCCTTCCTTGACATCACAACTGTGGAAAACTTTTACAAAAATTATTTCTCTCTCAAATCCTATTACAGTGGAACCTCGACTTAGGAGTGTCCCAATATACGAATTTTTTGAGATACGAGCCGTCGATTTTCAACATCCAAGTTATGAGCCAGCTTCCCCCGTTTCTCCCTCAACCCACAACTTACACACCTCACTTGTTTATCTAAGATTTCATGCTTTAATTCCATGGAAATTATCCTCTTTTTTCTTCTCAGCACTGTCCATTACACTAACTTTCTTAGGACCCATGGTTAGAAAAAAGAAATTTGGTAAAATAACTGCACAAAATGCAAGCAAACACGAGAGAAATGCTTCCATAGTGAGGTAAACAGTGGCTGCTCCAACTAGTGGTGTTCAAGAGCCCCTCACTAGCGTCAAGAAACCTTGACGCTGGTGAGGGCTCTTGATCTAAGAATTGGATCTGTGCTCCAGTCCCCTAAATTAATAATAATAACAATTATACATAGTACATAATAATAATAATACTAATAATAAGAGGAGCTTCAGTTCCCTAAATTAATAATAATAATAATAATACATAACAATAATAATAATAATACATAACAATATTAATATTAATAATAATACATAATAGTATGTAATAATAATAAAGCATTATACCTTGGAATGCTGCCACAAGGTGTCTCACATTTTTTTACAGTAATTTGGCCAAATTTCTTTTTTCTAGCCATGGGTCCTAACAAAATAAGTGCAAAGGACAGTGCTGAGAAGAAAAAAGAGGATGATGTCTATTGAATTAAAGCATGAAATCATAGATAAACATGAACAAGGTGTACAAGTTGTGGACTTAGCCAGGCAATACCAGCATAGTGATAAAACAAAACAAATTGTATCAGTTAAGTTCAGCAATAAATTGTAGCATTAAGAGTGTAGCAAGCAAGTTAAGTGATTAAGTGATAGAAAAAGGACGAAACGAAACTAACTTTTCCAATGTTGTAAAGTAAAAGGACACAAGTGCAACTAATGTAACATTTTTATTGTGGCAACATTTCGCTCTCCAGGAGCTTTGTCAAGCTGGAAAGCGAAACGTTGCCACAATAAAAATGTCACATTAGTTCAGTCAATCAATCAATCAAGTTTATTCTCTATAAGGATTACAATGCAAGTTTTACAGATTTTGGATATTGTGTGGTTTACATGTTATAAAATACTAATTACAGAAGGGGCCACTAGGACACCTAGCATGGCTAGGCATTTCAGGCAGACTTAGATTAATTCTTAACTCTAAATTATTACAAATTATGGAACAAGTTGGTATTATGGCTATGTGACTAAATCATAGTTTGTGAGTTTAGCAATGTGAATGCCTTTGTTTTGGCACAATACATAGTTTCTATTGCACTTGTGTCCTTTTACGTTACATCTTCTTCTTTCAACACAACGGCCGTATCCCACTGAGGCGGGGTGGCCCAAAAGGAAAAACGAAAGTTTCTCCTTTTTCATTTAGTAATATATACAGGAGAAGAGGTTACTAGCCCCTTGCTCCCGGCATTTTAGTCGCCTCTTACAACACGCATGGCTTACGGAGGAAGAATTCTGTTCCACTTCCCCATGTCGGTAATTCTACCAACATTATTACAATCCTCCAGTGTTGTTGGAGGGTTATAGGATCAATGACATCATATGCTGCACTGCCTCTCCCACCCTCAACTTTTGTCACCATCTCTGTTCCAAGTGTGTAAGTACTTTACATATAAACAGTTTATTTCTTTACATTCTCTAGTATTATGTTTTTATACAATATTTCTTATTTAGTACATTCAGTGTTTTCCTTAGAAAACTAGTGATCTACTGCAGTTAGCCTCACAAACACTCCATTTTCTGTTATAATAAGAGCATGGGAAGATACTATAGTCAGAGGGAGAGGAAATGGTGGACATTGCCTCTGCCACCATCACATGCCATATTATGGCCTATTTTATACATTTTAGACAACATATCATGTTTCTGTGTTAATTATATTGTTTATTATGTAATATTAGATGAATTGTGATAGATAAATAAGCCGTAGAATTGATATTAGTGTCATAATCAAGTATTTTGTCCTGCCTTCAGAGAGCAGGAATTCCACTGGAATGGATTAATGGCATTTCAATTAATTTAAATGAGGAAAATTTATTTCATATATGAGCAAATTGAGTTACGAGCTAGATCACGGAACGGATTAAAGTTGTAAGTCATGGTTCCCCTGTATTTTAATTTCAGTCCCAGCTTTTGCTTATCAACATCTAGTTTTTTCTCTATGAAAGCAAGTTTTTCTTCTAATAATATGTGGGGAGAAAGTACATATTACACCCCCATAAAAATGTTAGGTACTCTACTTAAAAACAACAAGGGATTGCCATTATTTGAAATATATGTAATTTAATCAAAATCACAGTTTCCAAAACAGAAAAAATCTACATTTCTTCACCCCATAAAATACAAGTATACCATGTACATACTCCAAATGGCTTTACAAAAATGCATATGATAAAAAAAATAATAGCTACCTTGCTACGATTTAAAATGCACCAAGCAGGGCACAGTGTCCACTTATTTAAATAGCCAGTAAGAGTAAATTTGTCATACAAATCCTTGTGCTTACTTCCACCTGTATTTACATTGTAAGAACTGATTGCATAGGAATAAATTTTTTGCCTCATAGAAAGACTTTATGATAAGAGTAGGGTTGTCTTTGCACACAAAGAAGTTACATAAAGTGAGGAGAAATCTGTATTATGAGTAGTTAAGCAAAGGTCTTTTGTGTGTGATTTCACTTATCAATTATTGTTTTATGGTTGTAAAATTGTATTGGAATTTAAATACAGTGGACCCCCGGTTAACGAACTTTTTTCATTCCAGTAGTATGTTCAGGTGCCAGTACTGACCGAATTTTTTCCCATAAGGAATATTGTGAAGTAGATTAGTCCATTTCAGACCCCCAAACATACACGTACAAACGCACTTACATAAATACACTTACATAATTGGTCGCATTTGGAGGTGATCGTTAAGCGGGGGTCCACTGTATTAATGTCATAAATCATGTTTATCATTGATAATTTAAAACCACCCACTTGAAAAATATTCTGTTTTTTATTACAGAACCAGTGCCAGTAGCATGTTCTCGTGTTGATGCTCTGAGATCACATGGCTATACCTCTGAAGCATTAAGACTTGCAGTAGCTGTGGTACGAACATTAAAGCAAGCACAGAGAGAAGCATATCTTTGGTGGGGAAGTAAGAGGGATGAAATGCTTCCGAGGTGTTCTGCCTCAAGAGCATGTAGATCCCTTGGCCCAGGAGCATTAGAAAGTTGGGTGGGACATCCTTTAGACCCCATAACCTGTCTTTTTGATACTCTAGCTGAAGCCTCCCTTTTACCTGAAGATTTACCACGATTCCAGTACCACAGTGGTAAGTATATTATTCAAGTGCACAGTACAGAATTACCTGGAAAGAAAACATTTATCCCATTTTTCCCTGATACGTGTTTGGACAGGAAAATTTTTAAGAATTCAACAAGTTAATGCAAAGAAAATTTTTCTGGCCAATCAGATGCTCAACAAGAAAGCCCAGCATCATGCTAGGCTGTTGAATGTGCAGAAGAGTTTGCAAGCTCATTGACCAGAACACTAATACAATATAAAGATACATCTGACTTCCATAATATCACTGAGTTTACAAGGCATAAATTATATTATAATCAGTGGGAAGTGCTAAACCCCTAGGAGTCATACTACACATGGGGAATGAGAGGCAATCAGATTTGATCTTAGGGAAGTACAAGTCCACTTTCCTTGATGAAGAGCACTTACCTTGATGGGACAAGGCATTAATACAAGCACAGCACACAGTTTTGCTCTGTATATCTTGAGTATATTATTCCTATGAATCATTACTGTTTACATTATTTATATTATGGTTTTCTTTCATCAGATTGGCTAGGTGTAGCTAATGAAGATGTCACAAACCTGGCACCACTTAGGTATCGTCATGTTCCCATCCCAGGCTCCAGCGATCCCTGGGAATCCTATCTTACCTTAGCCTTGGAGGCTGCACTAATTGGTCTTGGTCAGCAACGTGCTATGCCTCCTGGACTCTATGCTCAAGAAAAAGCCTGCAAACAAGAAGAAAAAATGATACTAAAACTTCAAGAACTTAATCTTGATTCTCCCCTCCTAGCAGTACTACGTCGTCAAGCTAGATTGCTTTTAGAGGGTGGCCCATTTTCTGGGCTTGGTGAGGGCATCCACCCTGAGAGTGTACCAATGCATACATTCACAAAGTTCCTATTCACTGCTCTTTTGCCTCATGATCCTGACCTAGCATATCAACTGGCTTTAAGAGCAATAAGGTATGTTGTATAATGTATATTGAATTTAAGAAACATTTATTAATATTGTTGCAATTTTGTTTCATACCAGTTGTATAGAGATGGTTTGTTGATAACTGTATGACATTGTTACATAGTACTGTACTAATGGTTACAAAGAAAATTGATAAGGTGTTATTTTTCCATGAAAATCCAAGCAAACTACTTTCAGTATTTTGTGGATAAACATTTTGCTCATGAATAATCCCAGTAAGTAGTGTTTATTTTTTGCACCGATAATCGCCATGAATGAACTTTTGAAAATTGCATTTAGAACATATTAAAATGTGCTTCTACTCTGTTTTTTTTTATGCTCCTGTAATAAGTAATAAAAATTTTTACTCTACAATTGCTTAAATATTATTTACTCTACTTTTCAGATTACCAATCCTAGAAGATCATGATGATGTAGATGATCCAGTCAATGGTAATGTGTCTTCACTGGTGCTGTCCCGATACCCTCGCTGGTTCACTTTGGGTCACATTGAAACTCAACAGTGTACCCTTGCCTGTACAATGATAAATGCAGCAAAGAGTAAGTGGCAATCATATATTAAAATTTTGTAAAATCTGCCTTTGGATTTTGTAGGCAAACCATCAGTAATGCTGAACAATAACCCTTGTTGAATACTTAAAATGAGAATGTACATAATACATGATAACATTTTAGGTATAATTATTTGAAACATTCCTGACGTTAAATTACTGTCGGATTATTTCAGATGATGTTATGCGGCTACGATCAGTTTTGGATGCTGCCTTAAGGAACATTCACAGCTCCTCTCATCTCTTCAAATTGGCACAGGATGCTTTTAGACTTGGGTTACCTGGAGAAGGTCAAAGAAACTCACTTCTTCTTAATGCTGCCTTGGAACTTGGGCTTCAGGTAAGAGCTCTTTTAATTTGAAATAATTTGAGAGTTTTAAGAGTATTGTGAATTTAATTTTAAGAATTGTAAAAGTATTGTGCTGCAGGAACATTGTAGCTGATAAAAAAAAAAAGTAATACAAATTTTGAAATAAGAATTACAGTATTAAATTGTAACTCTAGCTTTTACTTTACTGAACCAAATATAGCATCATGCCTCACATGTCAGAAATGGTCACTAAGTAGCCTGGAGTTTACCTGGAGAGAGTTCCGGGGGTCAACACCCCCGCGGCCCGGTCTGTGACCAGGCCTCCTAGAATTTCAAATGTTTTAAAGTTATTTCGTATTTTTGTTTACTCTGATAATTATACGTACAGTGGACCCCCGCATACCGCACGCATCGCATACCGTACAATCCGCATACCGCTCGCTTTTTTTGCAAAAATTTTGCCTCGCATACCGCCCAAAAACCCGCTCACCGCTCTTCGTCCGAGACACGTCCAATGTGCGGCCTGAGCCACGCTCACATGTTCCGCCGGTGGCATTGTTTACCAGCCAGCCTCCGCGGTAACATCCAAGCATACAATCGGAACATTTCGTATTATTACAGTGTTTTTGGTGATTTTTTCTGGAAAATAAGTGACCATGGGCCCCAAGAAAGCTTCTAGTGCCAACCCTACAGCAATAAGGGTGAGAATTACTATAGAGATGAAGAAAAAGATCATTGATAAGTATGAAAGTGGAGTGCGTGTCTCCGAGCTGGCCAGGTTGTATAATAAACCCCAATCAACCATCGCTACTATTGGTGGTACAGCTGCTGCTGCTGCTGTACCACCGTCAGCTGCTGCTGCACTGTCAGCTGCTGCTGCTGTTGTACCACCGTCAGCTGCTGCTGCTGCTGTAGTACCGTCTGCTGCTGCTGTAGCATCGTCTGCTGCTGCTGTAGCATCGTCTGCTGCTGCTGTAGCATCGTCTGCTGCTGCTGTAGCATCGTCTGCTGCTGCTGTAGCATCGTCTGCTGCTGCTGTAGCATCGTCTGCTGCTGTTGTACCACCGTCAGCTGCTGCTGCTGCTGTAGCACCGTTGTTGGTGTGGTTTATTGAGAATACCAAGAAACAATTAACCCCAGAGGATTTGCCACCCAGGATAACCCAAAAACGTCAGTGTCATCGAAGACTGTCTAACTTATTTCCATTGGGGTCCTTAATCTTGTCTCCCAGGATGCAACCACACACAGTCGACTAACACCCAGGTGAACAGGGAAAAATGCCTGGAACTAGTGCTCATATTGGTGAATTTAAAGCCAGCAAAGGTTGGTTTGAGAGATTTAAGAATCGTAGTGGCATACACAGTGTGATAAGGCCTGTTCTGGAAGAAAATGCCCAACAGGACCTACAGTACTCAGGAGGAAAAGGCACTCCCAGGACACAGTGTCTCATCAGTCATTGCTGCATCTTCAATAAAGGTAAGTGTCATTTATTCTTCATTTAGTATAGTAGTACATGCACAATATATATTGTGCATGTACTACTCTACTATTGTGCATGTATCCTTCTCTTTGTGTGTAGGAAAATGTATATTTCATGTGGTAAAATTTTTTTTTTCATACTTTTGGGTGTCTTGCACGGATTAATTTGATTTCCATTATTTCTTATGGGGAAAATTCATTCGCATACCGAACATTTCGCATAACAATCAGCCCTCTTGCACGGATTAAAGTCACTATGTGGGGGTCCACTGTACTTATGTGTACCTGTACCTAAGTAAACTTACACATGTAGGTACACATTAAAATCAGTAAGAGTGTCTTATGTCTCGGATGCCATACAAATATTTTAAGGTAAATAATGAGTAACTGTATATGCATTTTATCGCTCTGGAACGCTTTAACCCTTTGACTGTCAAAAGGCCCAATCCTGAAGTGTCTCCTGGTGTCGCAAAATATTTGAAAAAAAAAAATTTTTTTTCTTATGAAAATGTTAAGATTATTTTTCTGATTGTTTTAGTCCAAAAAAATTTTTTCCATCAGTACTTACCGAGATATAGAGGCATGAAGTTTGCAGAAAATGATCGGCATATGGCAACAGCAGCGACTGCCGCTCACTTGGTAAACTTTGGTTTACTTTTATTCGACGGTTTCTTGTTTTTTTCACTATTTTACTTTTTCACATAACTTTTGTGGCCTGTGAGACCAAAGTATGGTGCAATATTCATATATACACTTGTTGAATGTAACACAATTATAGCAAAAACAGAAGTATCAACATAATGTTCCTAAAACTTGTTTACACAAACAAACAATATAAAAAATTGTTTATTACGATTGTTCTATAATATATATACATATGTACAATCACTGGACACTTTTCTAGAACTGCTGCAGCTTGTGGAATTCTTTGAAACATGGGTATAAGCACAATGGTGTTTTACACTCCTCACACATAAAACAAGTGTCTCTGCATTTTTGTGGGCGTTTTGTGGTATGTCCACAGACAAAAACACCTCTTCTGAGCATTTTTCTTGAGAGCAGTAGCAGGCAGTGGTATGGGGTAGTGATCACCAGGCCTCAGACGAGAGGACATGTGTTGATAATTTCGTGGGCGCTGGTCTATTGCAAGTGTTGTTCCTTGGTACTTGAATATTATTTGTCTGATGACTGACAAACAAAATTCACCGTATTTGGGTTTGGTGTTGGTCTTCAACTTATACATATCAGCATTCAGCATGGAAATGTCAAGAAGATGGAAAAAGAGTTTTATGTACCACTTATTACTCTTGTGAACACAGTCAGCAAACCCAATCTGCATGTCACATTTGTCCACTAAGTGCATATTGAGGTTGTAATCCATCACAGCTGCAGTGTCTACCATTTCGTGTCAGTTAACTGATGTCAGCAGTGTGACATCACGTTTGCCATGCCACCGAAATGCCATGATGTCATTGGCAGCAAACACCTGCACCTCACCTCTACGACTGCCAGCGTCGAACCTAGGCATATGCTTACGATTTTTCCACGCAAATTGTGCCACACACATCTGTCATGTTCACTCGCAAGAAATCACTGAGTAAAGGGCTTGTGTACCAGTTGTCAGTATATAAAATATGCCCCTTACCAAGATATGGTTCTATCATTGTTCTAACCACATCACCAGAGATACCCAGTAACTTCCTGGTATCTTGCAATGTTTTACTGTCAGTGTACACAGTTATATCCAAAACCAGACCAGTTTTGCAATCACACAGAACAAATAACTTTATACCAAAGCGTTTCCTCTTGCTTGGTATATACTGCTTGAATGAGAGTTTTCCTTTGAACAAAATCAAAGACTTATCAATAAGCTTCCTGAAAGGATAAAAATACATACAGCACTTTTGTTTCAGGTACATAAACACATTACTTATCTTACATAACCTGTCGCTTCTGTCAGGTCTTCTGTTGTCTGAAAAGTGTAACATACGTAACAGTAACAAATCTATTCACTGGTATAATGTCACTGAAAGCTGGGGTTGAAATCAGGCGGTCTGTCGACCATTATGTGTTGACACTGTGCTTACACTGGGGCTAAGCATTATTGGGCAAAGAACGGTACATTCTGCACAGTTGGCCCTTTTTCCAGGGTGAAGCCGTGATCTTGGGGAAAAGTTGTTTTGCCATGGTGACTCAAACCCTGTATTGCTTTCCGGGCAACAATGCCATCAGGGGTTCATCAAAAAACTGAAAGTATTCCGTTTAGTCATTTTTCCCAAAGGTTTCATGATGGCCTATTCCACTTTGTGTTTTCATCAAAATCATGGACTGGGAACAAATCGTCACCTTGCTGCCAATCCCAGAGCGGTTAGCTGGGGTTTGGATATTTAAACGTGGTTGTGGTTGTGGGAGTGGGGGGTTGGGGGAGGCTGGTTTGTTGTGCATCAGCGCGTCGGTAGTACGTGGCCCCCTGGTGGTGCCAACAACTAGCCACCATCACTTTTACCACCACCCTGCTGCCCCACTCGCTCATTAATACTCACGCAACAATACATCATCTTCACTATCGGGCGTGGTGTAGGGCCCTGGGGTGTGCTCCAAATTTTTCTCCTTCCCTTGAAAAGCAAATTTTGGGAAACCCACCAGACCCCAAGCGACTCGTAATTCGCAGCTTCAATGGGGAAAAATTCACCCCCACGTCGCAACTGAACTGCTTTCAGTAACTTTGAAATCACTACACATCACTTACACTGCTCGTATACGGGCAAAATTTCCTCTTTTTCCCGTACAGGGTGAACATGAACGAGCCGGCCCGCCCAGAGGGGGAAGGTTTTTGGTATTGGGTTTTTCATCACTAATTACGTTATCCTGGGCACTGTTTTCGGTCACACCCGCTTGAAAACCAGGGAATTCACTTTCACTGACACTTTCATCGCTGTTAGAGCTATCACTTGGGAACAAAAGACCTCCAATCCGCCGAGGAGTGAGGAGCTTCTTACTCCGAGGCATGGTGAAAATGGACTACCAAGATGGCGTTCCCACAATGCACCGCTGAGTCCCAGATTTTTTCACAGGGTGCACACCCACCACACAGACCCATTCTCTCTCATGTAGGCCTACCAGCCCTCTCCCGCTTGATTTGAAGCCACTAGAATTTATGTGTGTAGATACGTCAAACACGGTATCTCGTATGACGTATATATACGACCGAAACAGTCAAAGGGTTAAATGTCTTAGAATATTACGTGTGGGTGGGGTGGCCTGGCCTGGCTACCATACCTACCACACCTGACTTCTTACAATAAATACTACTCATCTTGCTCTACATTAAGACTACAAATATTTTAAGGTAAGTAATGAGTGTACTGTATGTGTATTTTACTTTTTTATTGTTTTTTTAATGTCTAGTTCTATTGCTAACTTAATATATGTTAGTGTAAACTTGTTTTCTAACATTTATAAGTGGAAAAAAGGGCATTCCACTTTATGGCAGTAGCCTGGAACCTAACCTGCCGTATAAGTGGGGTACTACTGTATAGCAGTATAACATAAGTAAATGTTGTGAATAACTACAACATTATTATCTAGCATCAATAGTTAACCCTTTCACTGTCGAGGGGTCCTAAATTAAATGCTGCTTCTGTTGCATTTTAAGAAAAAGTTTCCTCTGAAAATAAAGTTAATTTTCCAAAGGTAATAATACAAACAAAATGAAAATTTGGTCAGTATTTGCACAGATATGAAGGCATGAAGCCTTCATATCTGTGTCACTATTTTTTTGGCACTTTTATTTTCCACATTAAAATAGATGGACTAAAAGTGTAACCAATATACCCATTTATACACAATTTTCCATACAAATGAATACACATACTTCCATTTGCTTCATTTTCTGCTGTTCTAACATATGTACACATATATGACAGGCACTGGTAGTGTTACTAGAGCTGTTGAGATGTATGGAACTCCTTGAAGCATGACTATACACAATGGTATTTTACAATCCTCACATAAATCGTGCATCTCTGCACTTGTTGTGTGAGCTCACACATAACATCTCTTCCAAGTCCATTTCCTCTTGTCAGAATCAGGAAGTGGAGTTAGGTGATTACCATGTCTCAAACAAGAGGGAATTTGTTCATCAGGATGGCAGCATGTGTGTTGTTTTGATGTTGTGACCTGGTATTTCTATTTTGTTTGTCTGATAACAAAGAGAAGTCAACATATGTCAGTCTGTTCCCAAGCTTGACCTAGTACATATTGTAGGCATTTAGCATAGTAGTATTTACAAGATGGAAAAAAGTTTCTATACCACCTTTTGCATACAATCAACAAACCCAATCTGCATGTCACATTTGTCCACAAAATGCATATCATTCAAGTAATCTATGACAACAGCTGGTTTCTCAATGAGTTCATTCATTTCTCTGCTCACCTTTCCTTTTTGTTTCATTTCATTCTGGTGGAAGAATATCAACAATGTCACATGACATATGTCATGCCATGTCATGAAACACCTGCACTTTACCACCACCAGTGCCTACACTGAATTTGGGTACATGTTTTGGTGTTTCTTACACTATACCACACGTCTGTCATGTTCATCCGCAAAAAAATCACAGAGTAAAAGGATTGTGTACTAGTTATCATTGTATAATATATGCTTCTTACCAAGGTATGGTTCCATCATTTTCCTCCTAATATCATCTGAGAGTCCTAATAACTTCCAAAGTTTTCTTTTCTGTGTACATTACCAGATGGAATACCAAGCCACTTTCACAGCCACACAAAATGAAGTTTGATACCCAAGCATTTTCTTTTGCTTAGTATATATTGCTTGACTGTTAAGTCTGCTTTTGACCACTTGTGTGTAGCAAACCTCAACAATTATTTCCAGCAGTGTAAAATGCTATATACAGTGGAACCTCGGTACTTGAACTTAATTCGTTCCAGAAGACTGAGTTCCGATCTGTTTGAGTATCGAACGAATTTTTCCCAACCAATTTTCTTTTTGGTTGGCTGTTATCGCTGATCTTCATGAGCCCCATGGTGACTTATTTATACAAGTACAGTGGAACCTCTACTTGCGAGCGTGTCCACATGCGAGTTTTTCTAAATACAAGCAGTCGATGGGTCGATTTTTTGCTTCCATACACGAGCAAAATTTCCATAGAGCAGACCTTACGGCAGGTTCCTTGACACTGGTGAGGGGCTCTTGCTCTCGGGAATTGTATCTCATTTGTTTGTTGGACTATCTTATTGAAACTTGGGCAATGTATGATGGAAAGATGCTTCTTAATGTACACCAAAAATGAAAGAAATCTAAGCATAAATAATAGAGTTCACTTCTCAGCAATTAGCCACCCCTTAGGAGTATTTTTGTATGGGTTTTATGGTTGTATTCTCGTTTTTTGATAGAATGGAAGTTATATTACAGAAATAGATATGATTTTGATTGCTCTCCCGACGAAAAGTACCTTGAAATTCAGGTCAACGTAGGAGAAATGGTCCATTGCTTGGCTATGTTTCAGAGTAAACAAATGTAACAGAAATAATAGTATTTCTTACCTTAAATTGTGGGTGCTGGTGTTTGTGGATGATTGTGGCCTTACTGGGCTGAGGTGGATGGTAGAGGTTCTGGTACTGAAGTTGATGGGTGTACTGGAGTGTCTAACTTTTAAGTCATTCAATCAAGTGATTCAGTAAGTCAGTCAAGTGATTCAGTAAGTCAGTCAAGTCATTCAGTAAGTCAGTCATCCAGTCAGTAAGTCAGTCAGTGAAACTCGTGCTAAATGACGGTGTACTGTACATTTTATTCATTGTAGAGTATATATCAGGTTTCTATGTTATTTATATTGTTTATTATGTCATACTAGATGTAGTGAGATAGATAAATAAGCCGTAGCGTTGATATTAGCGAAATTATTGAAGTACAGAATTCCACTGGAATGGATTAATTGCATTTCAGTTAATTTAAATGAAGAAAATTGACTCTGCAAACGAGCAAATCCAGTTGTGAGCAAGGTCTTGGAACGGATTAAACTTGTAAGTAAAGGTTCCACTGTTTAAAAAAAAACACCAAAAAAATCCAAAGAAACGTGAAATAGTTTACAGCAAAGTTCTGGAAGGTCGTGCTTGTTTGGTAGAGTGCCAAGCAAATGGTTGACTACCGAGCGATTTTTATTACCAAACAAAGCTTTTGAATACTGAATTGTTCAAGTAGGGAGCTGTTTGACTACTGAGATTCCACTGTATTTTGTCATTCAAGGGTTGCCTTTATGCTGGCAAAGGGCTCTTGAGCCAGGAACTGCAATCACCCTCCCCTGATATCAAATTTAATTACCTCCCTACAGGTTTAGCTCATCACCATGAATATAATATTATTTTGGTATTTTGAGAAGGAAATGTGTTGGGAGCCTAGCTATGAAGCACTAACCATTAGCTCTAGTCACATGATGATTGTCTTTACCTGTCTCTGAATAATTTGCACGAATATGGATGCTTCAGTCTTAATACTACAAAAATTTTCAAGCAGTAATGTTAAAACTTTGATGAATAAACCCTTTACATAATGAAACCTTTATTGTAAAGAATATTTTTCCTTAGACAAGCTTTATAAGTTACTTGTTTTAGGCAACTAATGTCGGCATTCTTTTCTGGAAATTCTTATGAAGCGTTTCTGGCTTATGGTTTTCTTCAGAGGTGTATTGACTGTACACAGCTAAAATAAATATTAATATACAATGTACGATTATTTTTATAGGTAATGCGGATGACCCTTACTTCACTCAACTGGCGGCGTCGAGAAATGGTTCGGTGGTTGGTTACGTGTGCAACTGAAGTAGGAGTATCAGCTTTAATTTCCATCATGCAGAATTGGTTCACACTCTTCACTCCTACTGAAGCAACTGGAGCGGTAGCTTCAACTATAATGAGCCATACGACTGTCATGCGGTTGCAGCTAGATCGTTCTAAGCAAGATGAGCTTGCTGCTTGTGCCAGATCCCTAGCTTTACAGTGTGCTACTAAAGTACGTATTTTAATATAGCTTTGATGTTTCTCTAAATTCTTAGCTATGAATGTTAAATATAAAAATTAACAAAATGTTACTGAATTTGTTGTTAAACACTAAGAGCTTCATATGTGAAATATTACCTGAATAATTTAATAGTTTTGGATCCTTAATTCTCAAAAGATAGTGTACTATCTCTTTCCAGTGTCATGTGGTAGGCATTAGAATGCTACTTAGTGCAGTGCATGTTTGAAAAGGTCAGACAGCCAACTGAGTATATTGTTTTGATTTTTTTGTAATTCCCCAGAAAAACTGTGAAAGATAATTTGGTTGACTTTTAGACTTTATTAAATAAATTCATGGTGTACCAGATTCTCATAAAATATACTACTTGCACATTTGTTGTTTAAGCATTACTGAAGAGAGATGATGTGCTTCAATTTGAGGCGATTCAGTCCCAAATTACCAGGCAAACATTGAAAGATTTCCTTTAAATAACAAAAAGGCACAATACTGTGACTGGAACAATACACATATAATCCGCGTATAGGAGAGAGGAGCATACGACGACGTTTCTGTCCAACTTGAACCATTTACAAAGTCACAAAGGGGCCCTTTGTGGGCCCCTAGCTACCTTGCAGTGCTTCTTAGTCTTTGACTCCACTACTACTACTACCTCTACCACTACTTCTCATCTTCCTCTACTACCTCTCTTGTCCCGTCCCTGTCTGCTGGCCTATATATACTCCCTCCTCCTCTCATGTCTGTTAGTGTGAATGTGTAAATGGTCCAAGTTGGACCAAAACATTGTTGTAAGCTCCTCTCTCCTATGTGCAAGTTGTTTGTGTATGATTTCCTTTAAAGTTTGTATTCATATGTGTATATTTATTCTTGAATATTTCTGTTCACGCTTTGTATAGTTTTTTCAGAATTTAGACTTGGCTGTTGCATACTTTTGGCATAACTGAATTTTAGTTGTATGTTCTTTCTTTGGATGATAATCTGCCTCATTCTCAAACACCATATTCCACATTATCCTTTAAACATTGCTGTATTCCTACCATTATTATTGATTGCTTTACAATAGTTCTGAGACACCCATCCTTACAGTTTAATATTTTTTCAGTGTGCAAGTGGCTTTCACCTTTGTAAAGGCTAGAACATTTAAGATTAATTATAATTTTTTTTTTAATACACTGTCCATCTACCACAAAGGCAAGGTGACCCAAAA